TCAGGCTTCGTTTGGTGTATAGTGTAAATCTAGTGCTTTCTATAAATCTCCCTACTGAATGAAACTGTTTTGATGTAGTCAACAACTGCATGTGCATATTCACGTACTGTTACGTACAACGTATCTCATTACCCAATTTCATTCAAACTATAAACCGAATAATGGCTATCGGTGGAATAGATGTCTCTCAATATATAACTCAAAATACTCTACTGATATAAATACTAAACCTAAGAATAACATTGAAAGGAGAAATTTCTGTTTATTTTACTAAACAGATGATGGTCAAGCAACTCTGCTACTTACCTTGGACATCAAAGAGACACTATAATGAAACTCATTTTCTTTAATAAGGTAATTCTTTGAATAACCAAATCAAGACCGGCCTATTTGAAACATGGACTATCGAAATATTTCATCATTTTATTGCATATAATTTCTTTTGTTCACTTTGTTTTAATCTATTAAATTACTACTTCTAATGGTGTTTTCTATTCACGCGAGTATTTAAAATGTCTATGTGTAGTAGCTGATTTAAAAATGGTATCTGGTGATCAGGAACAACGTGTGAACTTTAGTGTTCCTCTTGTACCGTGATCATTACTATTATTGATGAAGTGTTTCGTCCGTAATTTGTGTTCTGCATCTGATTCATAGTTTACTATGGTGTGTTTGATCCTTAATTTTCTGTAATGCCCATTACATAAGACCTGCGTCGGTGGCACAGCGGTTAGGACTCTCGCCGACCATGCATATGGTCCGAGGTTCGATCCCCTGCCGACGCACACCTGATATTTATGGTTGGCCTGCTAAATTTGGGCTACCGATATCACATGCTGAAAATTTCATACTTGTACTAAAATACTGTGTGGAATCAAGCTATAATAAAGTAATTAAAAAAAATAAACCTGAGAAAAAGCTAAATAGTGGGTGGCAGTGTACTGCAATACATGAGGTAACTGTCTCTTGGATTCTTAGTACAAACTATTACTGCTTCAGAAATAAGTCTAATTACCTACAATCTTCAATTATTAAGCCCATATTATACCTTTGGGTCAAAAAGTGTACTCCTGCACCTTCTTAATTGGCTTTCGCCCAAATGCAGTGTATTTCTCGAAGCAGAAATGTCTTAAGGGATTAGTTCTTGCTTCAGGTTGGACAGTAGTATGTGAAACGATTTAATGTTAACTATCATTTTACTTGAAGATCCTGGATAAAGAGTAAATATTATACAATAATTTCCACTGAAATTTCTATACATTATATAAACACTGCTCAGAATAAAGCCATTCATACTAAACCCATTCCTTGCAGTTTACATGAAGTAGTCTGTTTAAACATCCCTTACACACAATTCCCTTACGAATCCATTAGAACTGAATTTCCTGTTGTATGATTTAATACTGACCCAAGTTATCACAGTCTTTTCCTACCCTGGCTATTTTTTTTCGCGGATAAGTCAGTTTTATTTTGCATGCTTTAATTTCCTTATCATCCCTAAGATTAGTCTTTTTGTGAGATCAGGAGCCACTCGTTTTTGAAAACTTATAAACATCAAGAAGAGTTTTTCTAACTTTTCCCCTAACTTTTCTCCAAATTTACGCACAATAGACGTCAATTATGCTTAAAGAATAATCAAAAAGTACAGTTTGATGACTATTGTCGCCTTCTGGTTATGATACCAAGATACTCTGTCTGTTCCGTTATAAAAAAAGGATGTAGTGAAAGAGGAGGCGATTTCATTTAATTCAACTACCACCCACTATCAAAGAAATAACACTAATTTGCTGCAAATTATTTATTTCTAGTTTGAGTTAAGTAAAGAAAGCATATAAGTGTTGCTTATTTGGAAGCATTGATCACTATTAATTCACCAATGAATTTTGTAAACTTCAAGCTTAATTTGCATAATCACATTTTTGGCGCAAGTTTTTATCATCACGGTTAGTATTTGTAATTTTAGGAATGAGAATTAGGCAAGCAAAGAAAGATGAAATAAAGAATCAAACTGGATTTTCACATCCAATTCTCTTTTCTTACTTTTGGATATACGATTCCAGTTTAACTAGATATTGTGGCTACTTTACAAGCAACTGGTCTTTCTAAGTTGTTTTCCTGTATAAGTTAAACAGTTCAAGCTGTATGATTCGTAGATGAATCCGAATATATCCGGATGATTTTGCTCACTATTTCCAATATGGCCTCTGAAAATTTACCTGGGGAGTGAATTTTAATTACTGTGAATCACTCAGAAGGAAACAGAAACTTCAGCACTCAGAAGGTTATTCATTATCATAGGATTTTACACTGTCATGCAAAATATATATTTCAGTGACTTTGAAATTGTTTATTTTCCTGACAATCTTTGTATCTTCGCAGGAGTGTTACGTTCTTTTTAGCTGTCGAAATTCCAAGAAAACGTTTTCGACTACTTAATATTCATTTAGATTTGCTTGAGGATATGTTCTGTCACTATTTACATTTTACAGATATCTACAGAGACTTCAAAAGTCCTAATTTATTTTACTTTTACTATTGTTCCCGTGTCCACAACGGGAAATTCACAGAATCCTTCTAAGTGAAGATTAGAGTAAGACGAGCTGGCCGCAAAACTGATAAGGATATCAAAGCGAGGATCAGGAAAGCAAGGCGAGCTTTCCTTTATCTCAAGTCTCTGTGGAGGTCAACAGCACTGAGCATCAAAAATAGGATCCGGATTTTCAACTCCAATGTGAAGTCAGTGCTACTTACTATGCAGATCAGAGACTTGGCACCGTGACACGACGGGTACTTCAAACAAACTACATACCTTCATCAACAGCTGTCTTCGCTCAATACTCAAGATCAGATGGCCAGAAAAAATCAGCAACAGGGAGGGATCTCTGGGAGCGAACCAACCCAGAAGGAACCGATTGTGTAACAAATACGCAGGAAGAAAAGGAGGTGGATTGGCCATACTCTGAGAAAACCATCAAGTGACCTCACACGTCAGGTCATCGCTTGAGTGGGACCCGAATAGGAAGCGGAGAGTTGGTCGTCCGAGGGTGACATAGAGGTGTTTATGTGAAGAGGGGATGAAAGCAAGTGGGCAGACGTGCAGCCAGGTTTAAATGTTGGTGGAGAACCAAACGCAATGACGGCGTGCTGGTGAAGCCCTATGTTCCTCTAGGAACTAAGGGAAACAATTATAATAATTGTTCTCGTGAGTTTCGAGTGGAACAATAGGGCTTCAACAGAACATCTCCATTCCGTCTTATTCTCTGAGATCCTCTTCAATTGGCTTCACGATTGACCATAGTCTATCATCTCCTTCATGTAACCCTTGTACACACGCCCAACCCATCGTTTCCGATTCTGGTTCCAGCTGAGCGATAGCCTGGCTCGCAGTGTCATTCAACGGTCTTCTCAGCGAGTATTCAGTTCATCTCCATTTCTTCTTGCATATTTATTGAGCGATCGGCTCTTGGTTGGATTTTTCCCAGCCAGAGTTTCTTGCTGCTAATTCTTTCTGGCCTGCCATTTTATCTTCATTATGGAGCCATAAAAGGCAACTGTTGATAAAATCTGCACCAGCCTGTTAGAAGTGCTTTTCCTTACTTGTCGAGTTTCTGACCCATATAGAAGAACTGAGTGATCAAAAATTGGTGTTCGAAATCCGAATTTTACTCCTTGAGCTGAGTGCAAAGGATTTCCAGATAGATTTCAGAGTAGTGAAGGTTTTTTTCACCCTAATGATTCTGGTTTTGACATACTCTCAAAGTTTCTAAGTCTGTGGTTGAGTCGATTCATGCTTCTTCGCTAACAGTATCAACAAAGAAAAAGCTATTAAGTACAGTGTTATGAGTCGTTAAAAATCAGTGTAATATTTTAAACGTAAAATATTCTTATAGTATGTGTTAGTTTAAGTGGAATGTAAGTGTAATCGTCACTCATTGATGTCACGGGTAATGTGCAGACAAATACACTCATAAGAATGCATCACTTTTGCTGTATATTTTAATATAAAATGTGAAGCAATAGATAACTGTGAGTTTCAATACAATACAAGAATGAATGCCACAAAGTTGAATTCTCTTCTCACACTCTTCTGCTTTAGTATATCAGCCTATTGTGATTTTCTTTTGCAGATTGAATAAAAGTGTGAATTTCTGATATCTGGAGGTGGTGTGCAGTATTGAAAAGTCGGAAATCATTTTCTGCGCTCAACATAAAGGACGAAATTCTTAATTCTAACACAAATGTTAGCACAGTCAGTCAGTTCTTCTCTATGGATCAGGCCTGAGCTTCACGAAAAGCATTTCAAACAGCCTGCTGTAAACTCTTATCAACATATACCTTCACACCATAATGAAGGTCAGGCAGTTCAGAAAGAATTAGCAGCAAGAAACCTTTAGAAACAATGAACTAATCTAGAACCTATTGCTCAAAAGATATCCCGAAAGAAATGCAGATGGATCATACACACGATGAGGAAACCGTTTAATGATATTGAGCATAACGCATGCCATCGCTCGAATGGAACCCGAGTCGGAAACGGTGAATTGGGCGTGGCTGCGAGATGACATGGAGGAGATCGTGTGAGCTTGCGGAGATGAATACTAATGGGTAATCATGAAGGCAGCTGAAGAGGACTGTACAGAATGAGACAAAATGGACACGTGCTGTCAGAGCCTTATGTTCCATTCGGAACCCAAGGGAATAATAATGCTGGAGAGTCCTAGGCTGGAAGAAAGTGAGTGTTTCATGTTTTCTGATTTCTAGTGATTATAGAGCTGATATAAGTTTCTGGTAAATATATATTTAGAAAATCACATGGTTTTCTATCTACGCAGTCATAAAATCATCAAGGAGACTTCCATGGAATGATGCTCCAATATAACTCTCCAGCATTCTCTTTAACGGTGTATTATCATATTTCACAAAATATAATTTATAAATATCAGTATTAAGAAAGTACGCCTTATTTCAAGATGAAAAATATATCTTGTGTTTGAACTTACACCAAGTTTTTCACACTTTGAATTTTTCAAAACTTTTGAAATCCCATTGACGTAATTTGATATTTCTATCTGTCGACCAATCTGAATATATTTGAAGTGATAAAGAAAGAAAGAAAGAAATAATTGAGAATAAACTTTACTCTCTTCTAATAAATAGAAAATTAAATAGACTGTTTGGAAAAAGCCTGAAAACTGAGCTTATTCTTGGGAGGTGACGTTGTTCATCAATATAGACCGTTACCAATGCAAAGAAGCATATTGCGTAGAAGATAATTCGATTATTTATACATACTAAACCTAGATTTCTTCTGCATTATGGTTAATACGGATATTTCAAACCATTTCGATGAGACAGTAATTTATTTCAACGTCTCCATGACACAGGTGCTCTGTAGCCAGTCACCATAAGATAAATGTCTATCAGGACAAAGTTACCTGGATGCAAAGTATTGGCTAAAAGAATTATATAAAATCAAGTATCCCTGGATATCAGTTTTTGTTATACTCAATACATCAGCAGAGCAAACCGACTATTTTTCAAGAGCCTGATCGTTCAATCTATAAAGATATATGTAATATAAGTAGTTCTCACTGATATGTTACATATGGAAAGATAACACTTTAACATCGTTTGCATAATAATAGAACTGATGTGGATATGCAAGATTCATAGTCATCAATACGTTCCTCTTCTCAATGAAGAGAGTATATATTGTATATTGTTCCCTTGGGTTCCTCGTCGAACATAGGGCTTCAACTGCACGTCTCCACTTGCTTCTGTCTTCTGCTGTACTTTTCACTTGCATCCATGTCAGTCCATACTGTTTCAACTCCTCTTCACACGATCTCCTCCATGTCACACTTGGACGTCCCACTCACCACTTCCCTTTTGGGTTCCACTCGAGCACTGGCATGACGCGTGATGTCACCCAACGGCCTCCTCAGCTCAGCGAGTGTCCAATCCATCTCCACTTTCTCCTGCATATTTGTTGGGCGATTGGTTCTTGTTTTGTTTGTTCCCATAGTTTCTTGTTGGTGATGCTTTCCGGCCATCTGATCTTGAGTATAGAATGAAGACAGCTGTTGATAAAGGTCTGCAACAGGCTGTTGGAAATATTCTTTGTGACACACTGGCCAAGTTTCTGATCTGTATAGAAGAACTGACTGACTTGACTTCGTTTGTATTGAAAATTCTAATTTTGTTGTTGATGATGCTGAGTGACGAAGATTTCCAGATTGGTTTCAGGTTGATGAATGTGTTTCTCACCTTTCCGATTCTCGATTTGACATCCTCATCCGTTCCTCCTGTAGTTGAGACAATGCTCCCTTATTAGATAAGTGAAAGAAGTAACCTCTTTCAAATCCCTCCCGTTGATGGTGATTGGCATTGGATGTTGCTGTTGTTGTTGGTTGGTTATTTTCATAACTTCCGTCTTGTGTATGTTTACCTGGAGTCCTGTCTTCACTGCCTGCTTCTTCGACCAGTTTGTCAGTTTTCTCTTGTAAGTCTTCGATTTTGTGTCACATCAGACATAAATCATCCACGCACGAAATCCAGGTCTTTTAGATTCTTCACGTCGGTTCAGCATATCCCTGTCTTCTCGTTTCTCACTGTCTGACGCAACATCCAGTCCACCACAATTAGGAATATCATTGGTGATAATAAGCACGCTTGTCTGACTTCTGTGTTTACTACTCCAAACGCCTCGCTGAGTTTTCCGTTGTGGATCACTTGACATGTGCCGTTGTCGTACAGCTGTTGAATAAAATACAACTGTCTGACACATAATCCAGTCCACCACAATGAAGAGAGTATTGCATTCTAAATAACTGACTCCACTTCAAATGATGATTAACAAACCTCTTCTTTTTAAGTAAGGTCTTAACTGAGACAAGAGTTACAGGCCTTACTTATTTCAAAAAGGTCTAATCATATTTCTTGAATCATGTGAATATTCCCAAAGGATTGGTCCCTATTGCCACGAAAGACTACTAGAACTGACACTTCCAAAAAGAACAAAGTATATGTCCTGGGTCTTCCTTCTTCTTATCACCTTTCAAATGATAGCTAAATCAAATCAAATTCCTCATTGTGGCGTGTTTCTTTTTGAAATACACATTCCACTAGAGAAATAGCATTCCCCTTCAATAAGAAATGGTTTTCGTTGCTCAAGAGCCAATTAGTTGTTGGGTTTACGTTCGACCATTTCTTCTTCGGAATACCATCAGTCACTTGGACGCAAGTACAGTCAACAGACGAATTTGACGTGAAACGAAATGCGCATTCTATATTGTATTGAAAGCTACCATATATCATATGATTTTCCATTGTTTTACCCACAAACAGAATTAAAAGACTTTTAAACATAGTAACGATCATGCATTCTATTAGATAGTCGAAGGTAATCAGCAGGAAGCCTTGCACCTAGGTTTCGTGCTAGTTGGAACTCACCAGTCAGCAAGGCAAATCTGCAACCTTGAAGGAACTGATGTCCCTTCTGAGATTCGAACCCGCGTCACCCAGTGCTGCAGTCAGAGACGTTACCACTGAGCTAGATATTCATGCTCGTGATTGACCTCCTGTAGGACTGTATTAGGTACTTTTATTGGACACTAGTGCTTCTTCTGCTTTATTAGCCTCAGGGTGATAGTTCCGTACTTTGTCTTCTGATTCACTAGCTCGTACAGGTTTGGATTAACGGAATGTAATTGACCAACGATGCTAAATTAAATTCAGTCATAACCTGTGTTCTGGGTGGAATTTCTTCTATGACTGGATTGTAATTACCAGAATATTATAGAAGATATGAACTCAGTTGATAGGAATTATTTTTTTATCTCCATAAAGAAAGAAAGATAATATTTACAGTAAAATATGATACCGTCATTCTATTCCACTGGTTCTCATCAGCTGCAAAACACTTGAAATTACATTGGTTATAAAAGAATGACAATGAAATACTTCAGTTTTTCAATGATAGTAGAGAAAACACTATAAAATTAACGCATCCGAAATGTAAGCATTACAATTTCTAGTGTAAGTTACCGGGGGGTTACTTACAGGAGGTCAGTCGCGAGCCCGAATAGCTCAGTGGTGACGTCTCTGACTGCAGCACTGGGTGACGCGGGTTCGATTCTCAGAGGGGACATGAAATCCCTCAAAGTTGCAGATACGCCTTGATAACGAGTGCCAACTAGCACGAAACCTAGGTGCAAGGATTCCTGCCGATTGCCTCCAACTATCTAATATCAAATCAATGTTCACCATGATGGCGAGATACCTAGAATGGTGGTCACATTGCAAATACCTGACTGATAGAATTCAGTCTACACCAAAGAAGGACTAGATACGTCACACTAGTTACTAGTGTCTAATCAGGTAACTGGATTTTGAGAAAATCTGTTTCCTTTAAAGTCCATGTTTCTTGGGATATACTCAGAAGACTGCATAGAAGTCCTTCTTTCTGTCCTTCCAATGTACTTGCTCCCGCAAGTGCATGTAAATTTATAAACGAAGTCAGAGCTGACATCAGCAGAGAACTCATCTACTTTAGACGGGTTTTAGAGCATCTGGTGCTGTATTGTATAATGAGCCTAGCTACAGGAAAGCATCTTTATATTTCTTTCATTCTCTTGTCAATTTTCTGTGATGCTGCTTCTCCTTTGAATGGGAGACAAATGAACACATTTCTTTCAAACAGTTAGGTGTTTTGTTTTCTCGTCTTTTTCTTTGCTATGTCTTTGGATAAATCACCTTGGATATCCATTTCCCATTAGACATTCCTCAACAAAGCCTGGCTTTTATTCCAGCTTGTTTGGTGAGTATAGCTTCCTGACTTTGTCGTACAGTATCCTCACTAATCCACGTTTATAGCTTATTGGACAGCAGATGCTGCCCGGTCCAGTTTTTTTTCTATATATATGGACTGTTCGATCATACCTTCGTTTCTTCTTCTTATATTAGTATCCAGGATATTGAATTCGTCGTAATATTCATATTCTATGATGAATTTAATGTTAGGGTGGATCTCATTGAGATGGTCAAATAATGAAGATGCATGCATGAAGAACCTGTGAAGTACAATGATGATATCATTTTATACTGTAAATTTGGTCTTTCTTTTGTGATCGAAATTTATCAAGGGGACTAAATTTATGAAATTATTCTTTACCCTTTCATCAAGTAGTAGAACCTTCAGAAACGATAGTGAAAGGAAGCAATTTTTTATTCCTTTACATTCCCAGTGGGACATAGAGCTTTAGGCTACATAAAGGCTTGAAGTTTCAGTAGTACTGGTGTTTATTTTTTACTGGATAGGGTTGCTGGCCTAATGCCCAACCTTTCCTATATACCAGTCTTAAAACTGGTTTAGTGAGGTAAAGGAGTGGGTCGGTAGCCCGGAATCGAACTCCGAACCACATGAGGCATGTTTAGCGAGCATTTTACCACTGAGCCACTGACACTTGAAAAAGCTTGAAAGTCATCAATCATTGAGACAAAAAAATCCTCTAACTTACCAGTAATTTAAAGGGATCAGTGAAATATGGATACTTGACATCACCATTTTGGAGACAATTTTTTAATCCATGAATAAATTTTTTCTGTATAGTTTCGATTGAATGAAGGGATGAGCGAATTTCTTTGACTTCAATTGATGAACGTTTATTTCTGATACACTCCAGCGACTAATGAAAATTATAATCAAAAGGGGTATTATCACTGTTCAAAAATCATTTTAAACAAAAAGAAGTGGTTTCAAGCGATATTTTGGCTGCGTTTTCTTACAGGAATAAATAAATAAAACACTATTGTGAATATAATTCATCCATTGAACCTGCACTATTTTTCACACGGTATTTTGAAACCATTCCAAGTTTTTTTTTAAATAAAAATATGCTTTTTCACTAAACACTTATAACTAATTCTTTCAAAAATATATATACATGCAGTCTCATAATTTATTACTTGGTAGGGATCTGCTTAATCGATTTAAGAAGTCAAACGTCAACCAGTGGCTTACAGTTTAAAATTTTGTACGGCTTATCAAAAGCTAGCCAAATATACAACATCACTAGCCTACAAATTATTATATTATTATTGTTTCCTTTAATTCTTAGAGGAACAAAGGGCTTCAGCCGTGCGTCTCCATTGCGTTCGGTTCCCTGCTAGAGTCTTCACCTGACTCCAAGTCTGCCCACACGTTTTCATCTCCTCTTCACATGACCTCCTCCAAGTCACCCTCGCACTGACGACCAACTCGCCGCTTCAAGTTCGGGTTCCACTCGAGCAATGGTTTGTCTAGTGATGTCACTTGATGGTTCCCTCAGAGTATGGCCAATCCATCTCCGTTTCTTCCCGCTTATTTGTTTCACAATCGGTAACTGGTTGGTTCGCTCCCAGAGATTTCTGTTGTTGATCTTTTCTGGCCATCTGATCTTGAGTAGTATTGAGTGAAGACAGGTGACAATGAAGTTTTGTAGTTTGTTTGAGGGGCTCTTCATGACGCACCAAGTCTCTGATCCATAAAGTAGCATTGACTTCACATTGGAGTTGAAAATCCGGATCTTACTTTTGTTGCTGAGTGTTGTTGACCTCCACACAGACTTGAGAGTAGTGAAAGTTTATCTTGCTTTTCCGATTCTTGCTTTGATATCCTCGTCAGTTCCGCTGCCTGTAGTTGAAACGATGCTTTCCAGGTAGGTAAAAGAGGTTGTTTCTTTCAGGTTCCTCCCATGTATGCTGATTGTTGTCTGTTGTTGTTGCTGTTGGCCAAGAATCTTCATCACCTCTGATTTCTCTATATTCACCTGAAAGAAAGAGTTTTTAAGTAGCATACATGTTTTTTTATTCAGTTTCTCAGGTTCCCTAATCTGTATGTAAATCGAGGGTGATCAGACTTCTGCTTGCCTATCGACATTCTGTCATGTGGCCACACGTTCATAGTCTCTTCCAGGTAGGTAGTAATCACTGCCTTCACGCAGCGAGGAGAATGCAAAGGTCTGACGCTTACAACCGGCCTGCTAGGCATGCAGGTCTATCTAGAGGAACTGGAAAACCCTGATTCCAAACCAATGGTGTATATGAGATCCATAATCCGAAAGGATTTAATGGTGTATGAACTTGTTTCAGTCAACAGAAACCACGGGAGTTTAGTTCTTGACACTGATCCACTCACTAATTAGCGGATCAGACTCCAAATCAGATGCTCGGGGTTATAATGTCTTGCGTTTTATTATTAGAGAGGATATACTGATTGCGAACGCTGACTGATGTAATACTTTGTAGGAAATTTATCAAAATTGTAGTTATATCAAGTGATTTTTTTCTTTTGAAATCCGCTACTTTAAAATAACTTAGTGTACAAATGCAAGAACATTCACGCAACTTCTTTGAAGGTCTACTTCACTATAGTTTGAGAGATCAGGAACTGTTCTACCTTGGCGTGAAAAGACACCATAATCTACATTCCCTGCATTTCATAAGACATTTTAAAATAAGTATATGAGCATTAAACATAAGGTATAATAAAATCCAGCAGGCATTATAGTGCTGAATACTTCTCGCACCAAGAGCTATTTATATTTATATTCATTTGTACTGCAATTCTATCATAGAATGATTTCTTTTGTTAAAAGCACAGTAATACTGTAATATTTACTAACGATGTTTCGAGCACAATACATTGCTTATAATTATTCAGGGCAATCAAATAACTTCCAATCCTTGTTTATTCCTAATCGTTTGATTTTATTCGTAATAATAATTTCCACACCGCAGGTCTCCACGTTGTGTAATTCCCACTGCACGTGTTAGGTGAGAATTGATGAACTTCTCCCTCCACCCACCACAATATCACTTTTTAGAACTGTAACTGTTTCCAACCCTATTGTTTGATTGTGTGTTAATCCATGGATTACTGTTGCTGAAATTTTCTCCAAGCTGTTCCTGAGATCAGTCATTTCACAGTCAACTGGATCTCTGTATTCCGAAAACTTGAATGACTCTGATCTACAAGTTCCACCTACGTAGCTGAACTCAAAGTAATTCCATGGTATTTTACAGATTAAGTTACCTCATTGGGTCGTAAGTGTCTACAGAGATAATCTCTGAGTCAGTTTTCGAGCTTAAGTACCATCCTAATTCCTTATATATTAAAAATCCTAAACAGGGTTTCAGATTTCGTTTCCATATGCGGTGAAATCATAAACGCCCTAAATTCTTTCCTTATTTATGGCCAATAGTTCCACAACTAATTTTTCCCTTTTATTGTGAGCTTTTGTAATTTTCTTATATGAATTTTATGGAATAGTTGTTTATTGTCAATGCTTCTTCTTCCCGTTTCATTTCATTATTTAAGTTTCCTCACGTACTACTTAGAATTTTCGCATGGTTTGTTAAAAATTGAGCTAAACCTGCCTTTATAGATAACAGATCAGATGAAATATAGTCTGCATATATATATGTATATATATATATTACAGAGTGAGTTGGTTTTTTAAAAATGCTACTGAATACTTTACCTTCTCCTGTCCCTTTTATTTTACAATCGAACATGCAAGAACATTATCCTGCATGGTTACGAAAAGGTGGAAGTGGAGCAATAAGAAGCGCGATCATTGAACATCTGGTCGATAATGATCACCTTATCTATATAGCCTCCGCCTTCAAAGTCATCTACAAGGCAAAGAGTAATTTACCCAAATCCCTACGTACCCGACTCATCTGTATTGCTGAAGCTTTGGCCATCGAAATAGAAAAGCCGGATCACTGTGTACAGAAAAAGTTCGTTCAACCCCTCCAACTTTCATGGTCTTAATCCCTCTATGCTAAAGTATGGGAATCCCCAATCATATTTTAGTTGTACCAATTTTTCATTTTTTCACTTTTGTCTATTTAATTTGTATACTCTTCCTTATTAAGTCAATTGTTACTATTACTACTCTGACTTTTAACTGTCCCCGGTATTATTTCACTTGTTCCACTTTTCATTCTAAATCAGTTCCTTTATGCAACATTAAATTCTATGCTATTAAATTTCACACAATATTACGTAACGTTTTTATTTTATTCGATTTGTCTACTAATCTTATAACTGCACACCTTTTTCAAGTTCTATTCATCCTATGAATTATTCTATATATGACATTAATTTGCTTTGCCACTTGACATTTAACTACGATTATAATCACAAACATTTTAGTTTTAATTGCATTTCATATTATTATTTTATGCATTCAATTCCCTCACCGGACATAACTTCTTAAAAACCATAAATATACGATTGTACAACTTGATTATAAATTCGTTGAAAAGAGTCTCCTCACTGAATCACTTGTTTTGATTTTCTATAGCTAATTCTCTCTATTTATTTTCTAACTCAAATATAAATTTAGTTTTCTCTACTATATTAATGATAAAACTAGAGATATGTTCTGTTTTTCCCATCACGAATTTCTTATCCACATAACTTCATCAAACCTTTGGGTTGGGATGAAATATTTTTATATATTGAGAGGCATATTTTCCCAACTCTCCATGAAGGCGTCTGCTACGCCTGGGGATATTGGTTATCCCATCGCTAGCCCTTCTGTTTGTCTATATATTTTGCCGTAGAATTTGAAGATAGTAGACAAGGAGATATAATTGAATTCCTAGAATAATTTCTTCAATATGTCGCTTTATCTTATAAGTCAGTTTGGAATAGACAATCAGTTATTTTGTAGCTTCCTCCAAAATGATATTGATTGGTGTATTAGTTAGCTCAAGATGTAAATTTACTTTCCTCTACTACTGAGCTTATCTGCGTTTACATATCCCCGTTACGGAATATACACATTGGGTCATAGGAGTTAATAAAAAGACAATTGCAGCGAAGAAAATTTTCTTTTCGACAAAGTCATCATCTGGGCTGTACATTCGTGTATTTATATCAAATGGATAAGAAAGTTCCAGAATAATTTCTAGTTAGGGGTCAAATTAATAAAAAATTACAATTAGGAATTAAAATGACATAACAAACAGGGGGGATGGGTAAACAGGGTTTAAGAAAACTTAAAATAACATGAATAAACAGGAAGTTTAGACAAGACATCTGGGCATAGCTGAGGCGCTAGCTATCCAAAAGCTCAAACCCACACTTTGTATCCAAAAGAATTACGTCCAACCCCTCTCCCTACCATGGCCATCATAAACAGGTAAAAATTTTTAGTAATGACAATCTCATCGCCTTTCTTATCTAAACTTCCTGTTTATTCATGTTATTTTAAGTTTTCTTAAACCCTGTTTACACTACCATATTTTCATACTCACTCTTCCTGTTTAGTTTGTCATTTTACTATTTCTACATATTTAATCCCTGATTGCATAAACAATTATTCATCATATTAGTTTTTTATCCGAACATCCTGTATATTTTGTTATTTCTACATTTCTAACCCCAAATTGCACAATGTCAATCTTCTTAGTTATTATGCTACTTTGTTTGAGTTTTACCCATCCCCCCTGTTTGTTATGTCATTTTAATTCCTAATTGTAATTTTTTATTAATTTGACCCCTAACTAGAAATTATTCTGGAACTTTCTTATCCATTTGATATAAATACACGAATGTACAGCCCAGATGATGACTTTGTCGAAAAGAAAATTTTCTTCGCTGCAATTGTCTTTTAATATCCCCGTTAATTGTAGAGTTGTAGTCTGTCGCTATGGTGCTTCAATGACAAGTTATATTTTTTGCACACTTTTTAATGAAATCTGGCATTAAGAACTTTCATGGTGTACATGTTCATTGGTGGCATTATATTCTTGTGTTGCGTTACATTTGCTGCATTTGCTTGATACTGATATCTGAGCAATGTTGTAACGGATTAAAGGAGACAGTAAGCTCAAAAGTTAAACGTATATTATTGAATTTTCATGAAATTCTACTGGTAAATTTTGGCCTATTTGTTGAAACGCTCTAACATCACCACCGGATAAAGCATATGGCGCCATTTTTAAGAAAAAGGATATACAATATAATCTCCCGTGAAGAAACAGTGAATTATCCTGTATCATTGGGTTTCTTACCAGATAAAATCATTCTCTTTAGTGGAATTATACTCCATCACACACACAGTGCTTGGTTTCTATTCTTATTTCATTGCATTGCAGTTCTTATGAAGGTTACGTCAAGGAATCATATTTTACAACCATGAGATTAAAACATTCTTCCCAAACAGACTAATTCGTCTATCTCATCAAAACTAATCAGAATGAATTAGCTAAAAACATCTCACATTCTTATCAGTCTGTAATGCAATTATCAATAAGAAAATATATTTCATTTTAGTAGGTAGAATGCCTACCTTGATAATATCTTCCAGAATTCTCAAGTGTTCAGTCTCATGTTTGTGTAAATAATTTAAATGTGAACGTATCCTTTCCAATCTTTCCTGTAAAGATCAAATGAAATACACATTTGAATAATCATCGTAAATATATTACTTTAGTTGGTAAACTGAGAGTGTAGAAAAATAAGAATCCTTGATATAAGAATAAAACTTGTACTCTGTGGTAGAGTATAATTCAATTATGGGTAAAATTTATTTTGATAAAGTCTCATAGTGTTATACAGTAAGCATTTACTGATGAACTTGTTTCGAGCACAATTTATTACTGCTCATAATCATATCATATCTAACTTCTAAAACAATTAGTTCCCTTTATGAATTTAGATAAAGCAATAAGAAGACGTAATTTGTCTGAATCGTGCAATGTATTTGCGCACAACACATTTCGAACAATCTGATCACACACGGACTTGCTGTAGGAATATATATATATGAAATTAATAAAGAATTAAGAGGTGAGAAAATAGACTCAGGTCAAGTTAAGAGGACATATTGAAGGTCAAAGTAACAATGAAGACCACTAAACCAAATAGTAGAGGTAATAGTACAACTGCTATGGTATCAAAACAAAATTTACCAAGGAAGGTTTAATGTGATGACGAATTGTTTTTGAACGCATGAAGGTGGCTTAAACTTTCTAATTGCTAGGGCTTCCATAAACTTTAGGATAAACCCCAAACACGTCTTATAGATAGGTTTAAAAGATCTGTTAACGTCACTTTTATGTTCTGTCTCTATAATATGTTTCGCAATAGAAGAGCTAGGTCTCCTGTTCTCACCGTTAATAGGTTCTGAAGATTCCATTTGTTTCTGGAGCCATTTGGGAATATGCTCTGAAGCCAGCCCTTACTTGCAGAGATCGATGAGTCCTCCCTAAGTATGTGTGTCCACACGTACATTCAAAATGGTAAATACAGTGGGACGTGATGTCATTTTTCGCATGTTCGAAGGGCTTAGATAGATATATTGGCTTTACATTCTCTATTATTATGATATTGGCTGCATAAAAGGTCTTTTTGACAGCAGCGTTCAGTCTTTGTCTAGTTATCAAGCTTCTTTGATGCCCCATATAGGGTAGGGAAGTTGGAAAGTTGTGTGAGTAGTGCCTTGATACGATTATGAGCAGCAGTAAATTGTGCTCGAAACAAGGTCATCAGTAAATATCACTGTTTACTAATATGAGACTTTATCAAAACAAATTTTACTCATAATGAAATAAGAATCCTGTCTGACTTCATTTATTCGAAGAGGCTGACAATTTTCACAAGGAAACACATTGTTTTATTTACTACTTATGTGTGAGTTGTGTTTGAATTGTGATGGCTACACATGTCCTGACATATTGATTACTTGCTATACTACAAATACTTACCAGATTATGGGATTTGCAATAATTTTGATTGTCAGATTTCGTCATGAACAAAAGTCAGCTAGAGAGGTCAGTGAAAACCAGGGCGCACTGGACAGCCAGCTGTTTTATCCTAGTTCGAACGTTTTCCTCACTGCACACTTATGACCCTACCAAGGATCAAACCTGAGGCGAGTGGTCAGCGGACTTTGTCTCATAACCTAAAGGTGCAGGGCTTAATCCCTGGTGAGGCTATAGATGCCCGCCGATGAAGGTCCCAGAATAGGACGAGATGGATGTCTAGTACTCCTTAGTTTTCAGTGATCTTTTTTAAATGATGTTGATTCATGACGAAATCTAACAAGTGAAATCCTTTTCGACCTAGTCATGATGGATATGTGTTCAAAATATGAATATTCGTTTGTTTTATTAAGCCCATGAAACCATATATAGTTTAGCTAGTCATTGTACGTTGATGGTTTCGTGGTGTCTTAGTTTTTTTTATTGAAATTTCCTTTATTGTTCTCCTCATTTGGGCACATTCAACTCCACCCTTTTGTCAGTACTTAAACTAGACGTCCCTATTGTTTCGCTAATATAAGTCATTTTTAAGCATTTTTGAAGGATCAGTACATCCAGTGTTTTACTGTTTATTTTTGTATAAAACACGATTTGTTCAGTGAAGAAATATTTTTATTTTTTAGCGAATTCATTTTTAAGCTGTACTGTCTACTTTAACTTAAACGTTTTGTACATCAAAAAACATTTATGGATGCTTGGCTTCTTATATTATTTCATTATGAGCTCACAATTTGAAGGCTAACACCGTTATGATGGGTTTCCTTCTGTTTATGAATGTATCTCATTTCATTTTGAAATATTCTTCAGATCATTTTTCACCCGAGAGCTTATGTCTTTAGGCGATACTTGGGGAAGATGAAAGAAATACAAAATATTGAATTTTGTAGGGATTTTGTTTGATTCGTTGGAGGATTTCATCATGAGCTGACATCAGTTTGAGAACCATTGTAAAACCAGCTGAGAGTACCGGACAACTGTTTTGTCAGCCTGGTTTGGTACTCCTAATCATTACGCACTAACCACAGGGGTTCAAACCCTGAATTTTCTGGTTACAAAGCGAGCTAGGTTGTAGACCATTAAGCCACTGGCATCCGATCTAATGGTCAGTCAATGAATTCTAACTTTTTTTGATTATAGCGTGATTCCACACCGTATTTTTTGTACAGGTATGGAATTTTCAGCATGTGATATCGGTAGGCCAAAATTTACAGGTCGACCATAGATATCAGGTGTGTGTCCGCAGGGAATCGAACCTGTGACCATGTGCATGGTCGGCGAGAGTCCTTACCGCTATGGCACCGACGCACCCATGAAAGTTTCTACCAATTCATGACATAGCGCCACCATTTCACAATGTCTTCTTAAATGAGCTACTGCCTCACCTTCAACGTGATGTACCCTACTGGTCACAGCTTCCCAATGGAACCCCAGGGAACTGTCTGAATACAGCCAGTCGCTTTGAGCATCAGAAGACATTGCGAAATGGTGGCGCCATGTCATGAATTGGTAGAAGTTAGAATTCACTGACTACCCACTGGATCGGATGCCAGTGGCTTAATGGTCTACAACCTAGCTCGCTTTGTAACCAGAAAATCCAGGGTTTGAACCCTTGTGGTTGGTGCGTAATGATTAGGAGTCCCAAAGTAGGCTGATGAAACAGTTGTCCAGTACTCCCAGCTGGTTTCACAATGGTTCTCAAACTGATGTCAGCTCATGGTGAAATCCTCCAACCAATCAAACAAAATCCCTACAAAATCCAATACTTGAAAAATACAAAATAGTTACACAATGTCGCATATCATCGTAATATCAGTGAGACATGCGTCAGTGGTTCAGCGATACAATGCCTGCCAACCACACGTCACGTGGTCCAGGGCTCGGTCCCTGGCCGATGCACTCCTAAGCCTTGCTAAGCCGGTAGTTAAGGCAGGCAGAAAATTAAGAGTTGTACGTGGGCTTAGCAATACCACTTCGTGTGAAAATAAAACCACTGCAGCTGAAACGACATAAGTAATACTTTAATGCATAATTCTCATAGTAAACATCTAACTCATCTCATAACTTCTTGTTACTTCTCTCCATTATAAAAATAAATTTAAACAATAAAGGTATAAGTTTTTTTGTTAAACTTCACCTCAGTATCAGCGACATCTTTTTGATCCAGTTGTTTGACATCTTCGTTTTTATCGACTGAACTTGAAACTTTTCAATTCACAATAGAGAAGGGACAGAAAGTAGAAAAGCTATCAATAAGATGGTTAATAACGGCATACATTTTAATCATACAGGTTTAATTGTACAGTTGTAATTCAATGACAGTTGTAAAACAGTCTTCAATAATCCATATGAAATACAAGTTTTCCAAAATTGCAAAAGGGTGGAGAGAAAAACTACGCTACAGTTTGAAACGTGTCACATATTGACAACCGAAATTCCAGATCTCTTGTTTAGTATTGATCAGCAATTTGCTGCTGTTAGGTTTAAAACTAAGTCTCCTGTAGGTGAGATCTTTACGATACAGCTTCTTATCTCTGAATTTCTATTATGTAGGACTGAATGATATGCGCCAGCTGATTATTTGATGCTGCGAGACAGCAGACTTCTATTCAAAGTTTACTGACCTCTGATCTCCACTTAGTATTTTTATGTCACTTACCTTAGGGGTTCATCCGGACGCCTAGTCGACAGCAGACTCAAAACCAGAAGGCCACCACTTCTGCAATTCGGAGGGCATTCGGTATGCATAGTCCAGTCCTTCATGGTATCTATTCTGACCTGAGTTACTTATCGTTAAAGCTTTTAACTTCCGTGTCGGGTAATGTATGAATTCATACATCTATTTCTCTTTATAAATTTGAACAAAGCTTTTTGGCATATGTTCAGAAAATCGATGGTGTGACCTTCTCTCTGTTCTTTTAGTGTAACCGCTACTGAAGATCCATGTAAATTCGTAAAAATAGTTATAGTTGACATGAGAGCAGTACCTGTTGTCTGATAAACGGTAACCAACTTAGCTACATGATAGATTCTGACTAGTAAGGCATTTAATCTTCTATTAACTGTTCCTACAATATTATCAACCTTAAAATTGATCCGAAAGAAGATAAGCTTCTTTCTGATGTGATTTGTTTGACATTTGAACCTTCATATCTTCTGTACTTTTTAATGAAATCCTGGGGATAACTGTTGTTTTTCAACAATGAGTGATTCAGAGATTGAGGTAGCGTGGATTTTCCAACTTTGTAGTTTAGATTTCTGGATGAACTATAACAAGTATGAAGGCGGATTTCTAAGCTTCTGCCATCGCCTCTTCCTAATATTCATTTATCAATGAAGCTCTGAAGTCTTCAGTGTTTATTGGAAACTACTGATCACTTGTGCGATGTGCTGCAGTTTTGTGTGAGCTAGTTTAGTAGTACCGATAGTTGTTGGCCAATACTAAAAAGTATACAGCTGTCTTGATTACCATCTGACATCCATACATTCATAAAATCTACTTATATGAATGATAAGACCAGATAACAGTCGTTCTTTTCGTAAGAGAGTTTGGCATTTCTCATACTATAATTCATTTTTTGTGTACTGACTAGAATAACTATCTGTTGACAATAGCTGAATGGTGAATAGGTGAAAAAAGTGTTCTTTTGACGTAAAGCATTCACTGTGTTATATAAGTCAGAAAGGCGATATTCTCCTCTTGCCTGTGGAGGAGGTTTCCTCTGGAGCAATAAGATTCAGAAAGGTTATTCAGTCTCGTCTAGAGGAAAAGAAGCTACAAAGTATTGATTTTGAAATCTTCCTCTTTCATTTGAGTTTCAATTCCTTGTTTTACATGAAAGTGTTCGGTACTAAGTACCATCAAAGAATACAAATGATTTTGTGGCAGTCTGCCTGAAGTCGACATCTATACCACTGTAATGGTACACGAAGACAGTCAAGTTCCTGTCTAATTTCTCGAAAAAAATATCATTCTTTTTGATGCAGATAGACAAATTCACATATGCATGAAACAACATATAAATTTAAAATAGTTGGTTCCCTTTATGAATTGAGACAAAGCAATAAGAAGACGTAATTTGTATGAATTGTGTAATGAATCTGCACACAACACATTCTGAACAGTCTGATCACACATGAACTTGTCATAGGAATAGATATATATGAAATTGATAAAGAGTTAAGAGGTGAGAAAATAGACTCAGGTCAAGTTAAAAGGACATATTGAATGTCGAAATAACAATGAAGACCATTAAACCAAATAAGAGCGATAATAGTTTATCTACCCTGGCTGGCATCAAAACAATGTTTACCAAGGAAGGCTTAGTGTGATGACGAATTGTTTTTGAACGCATAAAGGTGGTTTAAAATTTCTAAATGCTAGGGCTTCCACAAACTTTAGGATACGCCCCAAACACGTTCTACAGATAGGTTTAAAAGATCTGTTAACGTCAATTTTATGTCCTGTCTCTATAATATATTTCACAATAGAGGAGCTAGTTCTCATGTTCTCACTATTAATGGGTTCCGGGGATTCTGTTTGCTTCTAAAGCCATTCGGGAATATGCTCTAAAGCCCTTACTTGCAGAGATCGATCCCTATTTATGTGTGTCCTCAAGTACATTCAAAATTGGTAAATACAGTGGGATGTGACGTCATTTTTCTCATGTTCAAAGAGCTTAGATGGATTTAATGGTTTCACATTCTCTATTATTATCATTACTGTTATTATCATTATTATTACTATCTTAGCTGCATAAAAAGTCTTTTACAACCTTCCTTGGTAAACATTGTTTTGGTGCCAGCCAGGGTAGATAAACTATTATCGCTCTTATTTGGTTTAATGGTCTTCATTGTTATTTCGACATTCAATATGTCCTTTTAACTTGACCTGAGTCTATTTTCTCACCTCTTAACTCTTTATCAATTTCATATATATCTATTCCTATGACAAGTTCATGTGTGATCAGACTGTTCAGAATGTGTTGTGTGCAGATTCATTACACAATTCATACAAATTACGTCTTCTTATTGTTCTGTCTAAACGTATAAATTCTGAAATGAAACTTTTTATAAACTTTGAGGAAATTCAGTTTTTCGGAATTTCTCAGCACCTTAGGAACTCTGATAACAAATTCAGTTATATGAACACCATTTAACGACTCTAGACATCGTCCCGAGATTAATGTGTTCAAAGCCGATGCGAATTTATTCAACGAACAATATACGCTTTCTGTAGTTTCACTAGAATACTGTCTACTAGTTTTTTTACGGAACACCTGAACGTTTGTGTGACAATCCAATTAATCTGGGGACTTATAATTAGTGTATACAAAATCACATCACTGTTGGTCTGCTGGAACACAAGTTATTCACTGATTCAATGCGTATTTGAGAGTCCAGTTATTCAAAAGCATGCATATTGTTTTATTACTATTATTATTCTTTTGAGTTCTGAGTGGAACAGGTGGCTTCAGAAACACATTTACATTGTACTCAGTTCTCTGAAGTCGTTTTTAGTTGTCTGCTCAGTCGCCGATAAGCTTTCATTTCTTTTATATCATCCTTGGACACCCAACTTGGTGACCACAACACTTTGAAAACATTGGTTCTTGTTCGACCAACGAATCTAAGCAAAGGTGGGCCCCATTACTAATTAAATGGGTTACCGGCTGGGGATACCGGGTGTTGCGAGCTTTATTATCACTGCGCTTTTATTCTAGTAGTGACAATCCGTTAGAGTAGCCTACTTTACCAATTCACTAGCCAACCTTATTCTCGAAGAGGAGCAAATGGGTGTGGAGCTAGCGACACTGTCCCGAAAAATCAATCCAACCGGAAACTCCAAAGCGTGCATATAGCTGTTTTATCAAGAACACGGTCATAAATTTCTCCTAGGAGGTGCTGAATAATACAAAAAACCATTCTTAGTTCTAAGGGTTTGTAGGGGACTTTCCCACACATAGGATTGCCAAATGTTGATGTCGGTCCAGACGAATGAAGAGTGAAGTATTCAGTGGGTTACTTAAGGGTATCGTGCCCACCTACTAAAAGTGTTTGCTTGTTATTATTAGTCCCTTGGGTTCCAAGTGTAACACAGGGCTTCAACAACGCATATCCACTTTTTTCAATTTTCCGCTGTCCTCTTCAGCTGGGTCCATGATTGCCCACAGTCCCTCATCTCCTCCTCGCATGATCTCCATGTCACCCTCGAAGTGAAGACCCACTCATCGCTTCAAATTTGGATTCCACTCGAGCAATGACCTGCACTGGGCACAACGGTATTTGATTGACTTCTCGACGTATGCCTGATTCGTCTGCATTTTCTCTCACGTATTTTTTGAGTGATCGGTTCTTGGTTGGCTTGCTTCTAGCCGGAATTTTTTGTTGCCAATTCTTTCTGGTCGGCTGGCACTTCATCATCGGTATGGAGCCAGCGAAGTGGGCAGCTGTTGATGAAAGTTTTAAACTTATTGGAAAGTCATTTGTGACACCTCACCTAGTTAAATAGCTTGCTAGTTTTCTAGCCGGTCCCAAGCCCGGCTAAAGATGCAGGGTTGGGCGTGGGGATAGAGACCCTAAACCGCAAAACCAATCAAACTGCTACATAAACTTTAACACACAAAAATATATATTAGATATACAAAAAACCCAAAGAACGATCTTATTCTTCCCTCGAATCGGAGAGGCAAAATGACACAGCGGTCTGGTGAAAGCCTTCAAGAAGGCAGTCAGCTGATGCGTCTTTTCTCGATGCAAGCAAGAATAAAACTGGGGACATGGAATACCCGTACATGACTCGGAAGGCTGTCCAGGTAGCCAAGGAAATGAGGAGATATGGCCTAGAACTGATAGGTATCTGTGAGAGCAGAAGGAATGGATGTGGATAATCAAAATTGACAACTGGAAAGTCAGTAATCTACTCCGGTCATCCAGACGACAAACACGAGCGCACTGAGGCATTGAGTGGCTATTATGATGTCGCCTGTGGCAGCCAGAGCCTTAATGCAGTGGGAACCAATTTCATTGAGGATTTGAAAGTGTCTGATGAATGTGGTAATAAATTGAATGGTAACAAGGTAATCTTCAAGTCCGGAAGTGTATCCATTGGATGAATATTATTGTTATAGTAAATTCTTACCGGTTTAGTATACATTAGTCTACAGTGTCGCGTACAGTGCATATCGAACTTGGGTAATATATCTTGTAACCAAAGGGAGTTTCAGACAATGAAGTGAAGTTGCTAGATTCTACAGATTTCTTATCATTAGCCATAGAGAGTCACATAAATAATTATACTTAAAGTTAAATTAAGTGATAGTGATTGTTTGAGTCTTTATGTCATTGGATTTCAGTTTATTTAAATTGTTTTAATGACTCTTTTCACCGTGAAGTGTAGTTTATTCCTGTTATCAGCTGGAATGAGATATGGTGTAACTTATGAAGACAGGCTGACTTTCAAGACGCTTATCATTAACAACTGGGTTAAAAAACAAATAGCTCAAGAGTTACAGCTTCTGAAATAATGGTGTGGATTTGTAGGTGATGTGAATGCAATTGACGCCACTGTATTCCTTAAGTCTTTGCAGATATTCCCTGAGAAAAGCCTTAAGTACCCGTCCACTGCTCCGTGGTTCACAGTAGTTGCATGAATGTTGTGTCATTTTGTCATATTAAAATCACTCGATGCACTAGGAACCCAAAGTTTAAATTCAATCTATTTCAATAAAAGCATGTCACCAGTTTCTGAAATCACTTCAAAAATATTAAGAAAAATGTTTACTTTATATTTAAAAAATAAATAAATTCCAGCACTCACTTGATTCATGATGACTAAGCAACTCATGTGTAGTTTCATGAGATGGACTGGAGGACAAGGTGATTGGCATAATGTTTGTATTGATTGAAGTAAATTTTAATGAAGTTTCGCGTTCTGGTGCAGAACTTTGACGACTGATACGTGGCGCTTCTAAATTTCTACAAGACATTAGAATTAAATAGGTCGGTTATATATATTCCAATAGAGCCTGTTTTTCAACTAGCTTTTAGCCTTCATTATGACATGTTTACGAAATCTCTTTTCTTACAAATCGCTGTCCATATGGAAATTATTTATAGCTCTGATAGATCTTTTCGGGTTCGTCATGTTCCATGAGTTGAAATGTTCACGTTACAGAGCTTTCATTGTCCTTCTAAATACAATTTTTAAGGTAAAATGGTCTTCCGGAATCCTTCAAACATGAAGTAATAGTCTCTTCAGATAAACTGGTGACTTTAGTCGTCTATATTGCATTGATTTGAGGGAATACATGTATTACTGCGTCGGTGATACAGCGGTAGACCTTTCTCTGAACATCCATATGGTCTGGGGTTCGACCAGCAGCCGACGCACTCCACTAACCTCTCTGGGCCAATAGTAAGTAAGGTAGAGAGGAAAGGTTGGGCGTGGAACTAGCAACCCTACCCTGTAAAAATAAAACCACTGCTACCGAAACTTTGAAGCATGGCTTGAAGCCCTATGTTCCACTGTGATTTAATGGAACAAGATAATGATAAATAGCATGTATTATCATTTGTATTATTATATACTATTATTGTTCCCTTTGATTCCAAGTGAAACATAGGGCTTCATCAAAACACTCTCATTTTGTCCTGCTCTCTATGGCCTTCTTCAACTGGCTCCATCTACTCCTCACACGATCTTTTTAATATTACACTAAGACACACGCCCCAATTCGTCGTTTTCCATTCGGGTTCCACTCGACTGATGGCCTGCATTGTGCGCTATGCCACGCAACGGTCTCTTCAGTGTGTTTCCAACCCATCTACATTTTCTGTGGCACATATGTTGGGCAGTAGATTCTTGATTGGTTCGTCTCCAAAGCTGCTTGTTGATAATTTTTTAGAGCCATCTCATCCTCAGTGTATTTATTTAAACGCAGAAGAAAAAAAACTTGGTACAATATGCCACACAATAATAATAAAACAACGTAGATTAAAAGTAAAAATATAAGTAGAAAATGGATAAAGAACTTCATCTGGAAGGAAAACAGTCATGTTTAACAAGTTCAAACAGTATTCGTTGACTATCATCAAGAAGGGAAGAAAGAAGGAAATTACAACACGCTCGCCATTGATTACGATTCTTGGCCATATCCGATAACGTTTCGAGCTATCTCTCAGACCCCAACCAGGGAGTTGTGACACACCAACCGACGCTAATCTAGCACAGAAATCCTTCATCCCACGACGCCACGTAATGGGCTGACCACCCCTCCGCCTTTTCCATCCCGTCCCAGGGCTAGCGAACAGAGACCTGTACGGAAGCCTCTGGGATGACATTCGCAGCACATGTCCAAGCCACCGGAGCCGGTGTTTCCAGATGACGACACTCAATGAATGGTGATCTCCACTGTGTTCAAACACACGCCGCCGAACCTCAGAATTACTCACGCGATGATGCCATCGAACGCAAGCAATCCTGCGGAGACAGCGATGATCGAACACGCAGAGTCGCCTAACATCCTCAGCTAGGAGAGGCCAGGGTTTCACAGGCGTAGAGCAAGACAGCCCGCACCGAAGCATTGTGTACCGTACCTTTGACAGCCGGGCTAACGTCGTGACGGCGCCAGGGGTGGCTCAAGTTAATGTATGCCACCCTAGCTTTCATTATACGGTTGGAAATGTCATCCGTCACACCACCGCCAGCACTCATACAACCACCCAGATACACAAACTTATCAACAACTTCAAGCGTTTCACCCGCAAGTGTGAGTGCAGGTAGAGGCTCCTGCCAATCTTGTAACAGTACTTTGTACTTAGACGGCGCAAAGCACATACCATACTTACAGACACTCATCGCCAACTGATTAAGTGCGATTTGAGCAGCCTGCATGCTTTCGCACAGTAAGACGATATCGTCTGCATACTTCAGGTCGAAAAGTCTATATCCAGGTAGCAGATCTACACCACCTTCACACATCCTCAGTGTACGGACGGTGAAGGCAGTTGTTGATAAAAGTCTGAAGCTGGCTACCTGAAATGCTTTCCTTGTCGCGTTCTCCCATATAGAAAAACTAACTGATTTAACATTGGTGTTGAAGATACGAATTTTGTTCTCAATGCTGAATGAAGAATATTTCCAGGCTGATTTCAGAGTGATGAAGGTCTATCTTGCCTTTCCAGTTCTGACTGACTTTGACATCCCATCAGTGTTTTCACCTGTAGTTGGAACCATGCTGCCTGGTGAGATAAATGAAGAAAAGTATCCCTTTCGATTTGTCCGGTTGACAGTGACTGGTTCTTGTTGTTGTTGGTTGGCTGGTTTTCTTCATCATGTCCTGGCTACCTGCTTCTTCTATGACATTCTAGATAAATCGTCCGTGAAATCCAGATCATCTAGAGTCTTATCATCAGTCCAGCATATTCCTCTCTTCTTGCTTCCCATAGTGTGTCGCATAATCCAGTCCACCACAATCAGGAATATCATCGGTGATAGTCGGATGCCTTGCCTTACTCCTGTCTTCACTACAAGGTCTTCAATGGATGTTCCGTTATAGATTACGCGACATTTGGTATTTTCATTTAGCTGTGAAATGAAGTTGATGTCAAATCATTTGGCCATGAACTTACCTTCTTCCATACGTCCATGTTGATAGAATTTGTCTTCTAGTTGGTGTGCCTAGAACCGATTATTTCATTCACAGAGAATTTCAAAAATCAGCTTCAAACAGAAGTTATACCTCAAGAAGGATGTCCAGAAGGATAGTAAAAATCTTTGTAATTAAGCCATTCAGCTTAGATAACACAAAACCAAAAAGTCTGAACTATACATATATTCAGCTTAATATTATTTTCCAGTTGAATTTCTTTCTTCCCCTTAGGGGATTGATTTAAGATACCGCAAAACATGTGTTGCCGCTTTACTAAAAGATGTTTTGAACAGGTCGAGTGTCAAGACCTAGTGATAAGCATTCGAAAACCAATATGGAACACGACTAAACTGGCTAAGCTTGAAATCGCAAGGAACACGATAAGCGTAATCCAAATGGTGTTTGCTGATGAGAGGTTGTTTTGTATCTCTTCATGTTACCTGGTTGGTGACTACCAGTGGGAAGTTGCAGATCTAGGTTTTGCGCTTATCGTCTGTCGTCAGAAAAGGCTTATCTCTGAAACCTCTGAGGAAGTGACTGACACCTGCGTCACTGACCACTAAAGTTTACGACATTACCATTGAACTCTCCAGCATCATTTCTGCTGTCCTGCTGGGCTAGGACAGTTATAGTGTTGATCAGCTGGGAGTAACTACTGTCGTGTATTGACTTCCTAGTGGCGTCATGATAATTCATGTGTTACAAAACATAATAAAAGATTTGTATTTACTTTTCAACATGTTAATAATACTATACAAAGATTGGGACATTATCATCGAAAAATGTAAAATTAGGATTAAGTGAACAAGAGCCATTCTTCGCTTGTTTTCAAATTAGGAATTTTACTTTGAATATAACCGACTATTAATGCTGTACATTTACTGGTTTGTAGAGATTGTCTTTGATTGGTTAGAGGATTTCGTCATGAGCTGATATCAGTTAGCGAAACATTGGAAAACCTAGGAGCACTGGACGGCTGTTTCGTCCTAGTTGGGGACTCTTCACAATGCGCATCCAACACAGGGGTTCGAACCCAGGGCCTTCTGGTGACAAGGCGAGCCAGCTCGTAGACCATTATACCATTGGTACGCGATCCAACGAAATATGAATTCTAACTTCTGCCAATTCACGACATAGCGCGACCCCTAGCCAATGTCTTCTGCGAGTATTTGTCCCTACAAACCAACACTTGAATATCAATGAGATGCTCACTAGTGACTTGCCCTATTCAGGCAGGTAGTTACCTGGGGTTCTAGTGAGAAGTCGTGACCAGTAGGGTGCAGCAGGTTGGGTGTGAGGACAAATACTCTCCGAAGGCATTGGCTAGGGGTCGCGCTATGTCGTGAATTGGCAGAAGTTAGAATTCATATTTCGTTGGATCGCGTACCAATGGTATAATGGTCTACGAGCTGGCTCGCCTTGTCACCAGAAGGCCCTGGGTTCGAACCCCTGTGTTGGATGCGCATTGTGAAGAGTCCCCAACTAGGACGAAACAGCTGTCCAATACTCCCAGTTGGTTTTCCAATGGTTCTCTAACTAATGTCAGCTCATGATGAAAATCCTGTAATAATAATTATTATTGGAAAAGTATTTCAACATCACTTTCTTATCCTTAAATTAAATGAAACCTTATATTATGCAAAAGTATTTCATCCACACATTCACTCTTATACAGTAAATAAATATATTCGTATTTATTGATTTATTGATCGTTTGAATAGTGCATCAATAAAGTACTAGTATATCATCCTTATATGAAAGTATGTGCTACATTTTGAAGATTTACTATAAAATGAAAGCAAATAAGAATCGCTTTAAACCTTTTATTTAATAAATATGATTTTTCTGCGTTTTCTGCTTCTAAAAAAAAACAAATTTTTTAATCACGTGGTTAAGCTTTTGTCTGTTTACTATTTATTGATCAATGCTGGTTTAATTAGACCATCGACAAGCAATGCTTTTACAGTGAATTTTATTCAATCAGTAGATTTCTTTTCTGTGAAGTATTTTTTGCTCCCAAAAGAAATACTCTTTTCGTTGTGTATCCATTAGTTATGCGGATACAGTGGAATTTTGACAGTTAATCAGGAAAGATTCAATCTATCAGGAGTGATATGTGGAATTTTCTGTTTTGAAATTTCTTTTAAATAGTTTTAAATCGCTGCTACTAACAAGGAAATATTAGTATTTAGTATTCACATTCACTAAAGTCAGTAATAACAAATTTTAATACGATGTTAGGGATAGGAAGCATTTTGAGAACAATGTGATTTAGGTGCATCTATCACTGTCGGTGGAATCAGTTTAAGAGAGGTCAATTCCTTTCGCTTCTCTAGAGGTATGACCGTTGCAATTACAGGCGACAGAAAGGATGAGGATCTCAAAACCATGGTCGGAAAGACAAGGAAGACATTCATCACTGTAAAATCAGCTTGGAAATCTACTGCGCTAAGAATAAAGAACAAGATTCAGATTTTCAACAACAAAATTAAGTTGGTCAGTTCTCTTCTATGGCTCAAAAACTTGGCGAGTCACGAAGAGCGTTCACAACAGGCTGTCGTGGACTTTTGTCAAGAGCTGCCTTCACTGGCTCTAATTTGAGGGTCAGATGACTAGAAAGAATTAGAAACAGAAAAACTCTGGGAACATATCTACCGAGAATATATTGCTCAACGAATATATGGAAGAAAATGGAGGTGGATGGGACACACTCTAAGGAGACTGTTGGGTGACATTTCTCACCAAGTCATCTCTAGATTGGAACCCGAACGGGAAATGACTAGTGAGGAGTCTCAGAATGACATAGAGGAGGAGGTCGTGCGAGAAAGAAATGCAATACAATGGACAATCGTGAGACGAGCTAAAGAGGACTGCAGAAGATAGTACAAAAAAATGCAGGTGTGCGGTTGAAGTCTTATGTTCCACTCGGATCCCGAGGGAACAATAATATAATAATAATAAAGACATTCTGTGCATACTGAGCCATTGGTTTCCCATTGACTCTAAGGTAGTAGTAGTAGTAGTAATAGTAGTAGAACTCATGCCGAGAATGAGCAGAGCTGTGATAAAAATCAATATACTTCGCAGTGATCCACAGTCTTTCACTTTTGATCTACGCAATGTAGGAGAGCTTCAAAGTGTTCACTGCGGTTACATAGGTCCTACAAGTTAGCCATCACACAACTGCCCACAAGCTTATAATAAGAAAGGCAGCCTGCTTAAAAATTAGGCTACCGGAAACCTTCATCAATATACTGCATATAACTTCTCTTATTCAATTTGTTCAAGTCTAATAGTATTGTGTACCCTGGTAGGTATTTAAAACATTTACATCCTGCTGATTCGCAAGTTTCTCTTAAATATGTGAAAAAAAGCTATCCACAACGGCAACTTATCCCTGAGTGGCGTCCTCGGTTCACCAAAGGTAATCATGAACTTTTTATAACTGGCATTTAACAAATTATTGCGTATTTCAATACAGTAAAAATATTCATTCAGACATCTATAAAAAAACAAAATAATCGAACAAAGAATATCCTTTTCCATAATTTCCTCTTCTGGCTCTACAACTATATATATGTTTATATGCACAGAATATTCTAGATTACTAGTCAATAACAATATTAGTGTTTTTTAAAGTTGAATCAAGGTAATTACAGTTCAACAAAGATGCTTAAATTATAATAATAATAATAAAGATATAGTGGCAAACAGAATATCAATTAAAATTAGGAAAATTCCACAAAATTCAGGATCATTCAAACCTGGATGGTCAAGATTAGGGCAGTGTCTGTACTAGCTTCTTTCGGATGCACAAATTAGGCTTTTTAATATGGATCCCAACAGCCTCAGCAATATTTAGTAGTCGAACTCCTAAGGCGAAATTGGGATTCATAGGTATGCGATAAATGACCCTGAAAACATCGTGAACATCAATCTTGTGTTCTGTATCCACAAGATGACATAGAATGGCGCTGCGAATAGACTTTGTTTGTCCTTTGCTTAACCACACAGGGTGATGTTCGGAAATTCGACGAAAAACACGCCTAATTGTACGGCCTATGTAACTGGCTCCACAGGAGCAGTTAAATTGGTAGGTACACATGGAAGAGGCGAAATTAGGCAGTTTGTCTTTTAATCTCGAACGCAATAGAGGAGTGGTTTTGAAAACACAGTGTAATTTGGCAGCATGGAATGCTCTTTTTACCGAATTTCTAAGGTGCTGTGTTACTACCTCTCTGATGTTATCCCCAAGGAACTGCATCTGTAAGAATAAGGCCTTTTTAGGAAGTGTTGGTACCTTGGGCTGCCTTGATTTTAGATTCATATTCTTATCAATAAACTTTTCTGGATAACCATTCTCACTCGGCAAACGGTTAATATTATTAAGTTCCTCATCAAGACATTCATTCGAGTAAATTGCTCTTGCTCTGTGAATCAAGCACTTTATCAGATTGCATTTGTATTTCAAGGGCACGAAGCTGAGAAAATGAGTATACTGACCCGTTGATGTAAGTTTTCTATATACACTTCTTCTGTTGGGATCCATATTAAGAAGCCTAATTTGTGTGTCCAAAAGAAGTTAGTTCGGACATTATCCTTACCTTGGCCATCTAGGTTTGAATGATCCTGAATTTTGTGGAATTTTCCTAATTTTAACTGATATTTTATTTGCTACTATATCTTTATTATTATTATTATTTAAGCATCTTCAATGAACTGTAATTGCCTTGATTCAACTTTACAAATCGATATTATTTAAAAAACACTAATATTGTTATCGACTAATAATCTAGAATATTCTGTTTATATAAACATATATATAGTTGTAGATCCAGAAGATGAAATTATCGAGAAGGATATTCTTTGCTCAATTATCTTGTGTTTTATTGTGTATTTCTCAAAGGAGACAAAGAAGAGATACCATAATCGATAGGTTTGCATTGCAGGTCAGATACGACTGTGTCACACGATCTGTTGTCAGTTATGCTTCTATTTAAAGATCATGGATGCAGAGGAAACATCATGAAATAAACTTCACTGAATATTCTGTACATCATATGAACACTGTTCAGAATAAGGCTATTAATATTACTATTATAATTTATTTTCTCTTCTCATTATCTCTATCGTCTCACCATCTAAGGCCCATTTATGCTTCACTCTAGAGCCTACTACACATGTGGTACTACTTGATCGACTCTCCAGGATATGTCCGATACACTACCTTCTCCTTCTCTATATTTTCTGAGCAAGCAATAGGTAATTGTTCGTTTGCTACACTGCAAGATTTCCACATTGCTTATCCTTTCTGGTCAGCTTTCAATTATTCACTAACGAGCAAAGATAGTTGTTGATAGAAATCCGGAGCAGGTTTTTGCAAGTGTTTTTGATGGAGAGTTCATCTAGTCTTTGAGGTGAACAAAAGTAATAACTTGTCATTAGTGTTGAAAACTGAAATTGTTTTTTTTTACACTGAGTTCTGTAGATATCCAGCCATCTGATCTTAGCCAGTTTTGATATTCACATCCACTTGTTTGTAGATGAAGCGATACTCCTCAAGGTCATGTAGGTAAAGAGGGAAGACTTCTTTTAAGTTTCTCCCGTTAATGGTAACCGATGATGACTGTCCTTGTCGGCTAGTTATCTTCATCATCATCTCTGCCTTCACCGTGTACGCTTGAAATCATGCCTTCGTCGCCTGATTCTATCACCAATTTGTTGGCTTTTGCTTTTATGTCATTAAGTTTGTATGATGTGAGACGTAAATCACCTGATAAATTTGCATCCTCTAGGGTTATCGTGTTACTCCAATGTACGTCCATTTATTCGAGCTTAATAGATTAGGCCAATTGTGATGGTTCTATATCTTTTTAGTGACTTGCCCTATTCAGGTACGTAGTTGCCTGGGGTTCCAGTGAGAAGTCGTGACCAGTAGGGTGCAGCAGGTCGGGCGTGAGGACAAATACTCGCCGAAGACATTGGCTAGGGGTCGCGCTATATCGTGAATTGGCAGAAGTTAGAATTCATGGGCTGGCCATTGGATCGAGTCCCAGTGGCTTAATGGTATACGAGCTCGCCTTGTAACCAGAAGGTCCTGGGTTCGAATCCCGGTGGGTACGTACTGCTGAAGAGTCTCCGACTAGGACGAAACAGCTGTCCATTACTCCCTGCAGGTTTTCCAATGGTTCTCTAACTGATGTCAGCTCATGATGAAATCCTGTTACCAATCAAATCCCTACAAACCAACACTTGAATTCTCAGATTGAATACTTGATATGTGTGATGAATGAGAATAGAATTTTCGAAGCTCAGAAAACATATTTCATTTTACGCTTCAGTTTGTGTGGATTTTATTCACTTTTCAAGTTTGATCACGGATTGACATCAGTTAGAAAACCATTGAAAACCCGGGATTACTGGAAAACTCTTTCTCCCAAGTTTGCTACTTTTCATCGTTACACGTCCACTGGGGTGCAAACCCACGACCTTCCAGTAACAAGGCAGGCTTGTAGACCATTCACTCACTGTGACTCGGTCCAGCTGCCAACCCATGAGTTCTAACTTCTGCCAATTCATGATTTTAGTACGACCACCAGCCAGTGTGTCCAGTGAGCATTTGTCCTCATGCCCGATCTGATGGACCTCAACGGTCACAGCGTCGCACTAAAACTACAGGCAACTTCTTCCTTTAGGCAGTCATCACCAAGCTACAGGACAACCCTGGCTGGTGGTCGTGCAAAAATCGCGAATCGACAGAAATTAGACCTGATGGGCCATTGGATTGAGTCCCAGTGGCTGAAAGTTCTACGAGCTTCACTTGTATCCAAAAGGTCCTGGGTTCGAATCCTGGTGGGTGGGTTCTGATGAAGAGTCGCAAGCTACCGTGAAACAGCTGTCTAGCACTCCTTTGGTTTCCAAAGGTCCTCTAACTGGCATCAATCTGTGCTCAAACTTGAAACACATTACCTAATGCCAAGTACTGTCATTTTATCACAAAGATGCTTTATTTTGTAAACATGCTAAGTAAAACTACATAAAATGAGTCAAGTGGAATGCAACACTCACCTCGTAGATACTGTAATTATACGTTCACCTCCTAGAGACTGACTGCTGATATATTTCTCCTGAGTCCCCGATTTGATGTCAACTGGTCTCGACTGTCTGTCTGTAGAACTGTGTATTTCAATCTTGTCGTTGTTGTTATTATTATTAGAAATCTCTCTGTAGATTTGAATATTCCCATTTTTTCTTTTATCAGTCATTTGATCGATTACTTTCGGTAGGCTGACACTTCTTTTCGTCTCGAAGTCCATCACAATATATATACAAGAACTATTCTCACTCTTTTCGACAAAACAGAAACAGATATATCACTCAGTTTGTTTTTCACCTGTTTCATGAAATAAATTACATGCTAAATAAGTTATAATATTAACCGGCGTCTTTGTTGAAGAAGGATTGTGAGTCTGACTTGCTGGCTGGCCGAGAATATTCGCGTATGTGCTCTAGCAGGTCCGTCTGTCTGTCTGTCTGCATTACATTCTCAGCAGATGTGGGTTCGATTTTCTGCAGGAAGTACATTTTTTCCTACTTACCACTCATCAACTGAACATAACCGTGCCCCACTGAGATTCGAAACCAACATACCATCGTTTCAAAAACCATGGCGTTATCTGTTAGGTTTACCCACTCCGGTTAATACTATATGGTAATTACCGCTCGAATTTAGACTGCTAATCTAATAAAGTCTCACCAACAGAAACCAAAAAATTTCCGTCCAACAAAATCAACTAACTGGGAACTCAGAAAATAACAACTTCAGATTTCTGTTGCGCAAAGGGTATCTTTCATGCACCAGTGGCCTAGTGGATAATACTGTGAAGTTTGGAACGATGAGTGTTGGTATCAAGTGTCAGTGGGAACACCGTCTAAAGGATTAGATACAGATAGGATGATATGCGCGTTGTGGATTCGACTGCTAACTACAGTCAACCAAAATAAAAGTGTCATACTACCAACGAAAGGCAAATTAAGCATCTGCGACGGCTGGCGCCAAAATATGTATGCTCTTGTCCACTACAAGCAAACTACTAAGTGGTGTCATCCTGGATAGAATAACAGATGCACTGGTGGCAGAATTCCGCCAACGCAACAAGCTGGATTATAGGAAAGGCAAATCGTGTACTGATCAAATAGCAACTCCACGTATTAACATCTAATAAAGTATACAATGGCAGACAAATATGTACCTCGACTTCACCGAATTTGAAAAGACCTTTGACTGCGTTGATCGAGAAGTAATTTGGGAACCACTTCAACAATATGGAATGAACTGAGCAAATATTTGTCAACCTCCTTCAACAGCTATATAATAATGGCATTTAAGTGGTGATTAACAACGGAAAACTGAGTAAAGGCTTTGAAACGAATAATGGGAGTAAGGCAAGACTGACTACTGTCACCGGTGATATTCCTATTTGTGGTGGACTAGATTGTGTGGATCACCGTACATGGGGAGTGAGAAGTCAGGAATACGCTGGATCGGTAAGAAAACTCAAGAAGATCTGGATTTCGCGTGTGGATCATTTATGTTTAGTGTCACACGAACTCGAAGAACTGTAGGCGAAAAGCAACATACTGGCTGAAGAGGCAGGCAGGGAAGAATATAAGGAATATAGCGAAGATGGAGGTAATGAAGATAACCAGCAATCAGCAACAGCAACAACAACCAGAACCAATCACAGTCAATAGGTGAAATTTGAAAGAGGTTACTCCCTTCACTTACCTCACCAGGCAACAACGTTTCATCCACAGGTGAAATGGATGCAGACGTCAAAGCTAGAATCAGAAATACAATACATTCATCAGTCTGAAGAACAAATTCGGATTTTCAACACCGATTTTGTGTCAGTTTTTCTATATAAGTTATAGACTTGAAGTGTTACGATAAGCGTTTCCAACAGGCTGGTGCAGGCTTTTTCAACAGTTGCCTTTTCTAACTCCATACTAAAGATCAGATGGCAAGCCAGAAAAAATTAGAAACCAGAAACTGTAGGGACAAACCAACCAATAGTCTGTTGCTCAAAATATATTGCGTAGAAGGTGTATACGGATCCGACACTCGTTGAGGAGATCGTTGACTGAAATCACATACAATATAGACCCTCGAGTGTACCTGAATGGGGAACGACGAGTTGGGAGTCCGAGAGTGACATGAAGGAGATTTTGAGATAAGGAGATGAGAGACTATAGACAGCAGTGAGGGCAGTTGAAGATTACTCCAGAGAACAGGACAAAGTGGAAATCGAAGGCGTCACGTCAACAGCGACTAAGCATTTCTGTTCACTAAAACCAATCTACAGAAGATTTAAGGAAATAATCTCACCAGACGATTTGGACAACATTCGCGCTACTTTTAATATCAGTTTGCCATCATCTTGTGGATTACAGATTAACACGGAAAACACTTTCAATAGGTGTGTTACTTTGTTTCAATTGCATCTCGAAATGAATAATTTAAAAGTCACTTTATCCACAGAATAAAATGAAGTGTGGTGGGATTAAAAGTAGTGGTCTTCCCGGGTTACTGGCCGGCTTTTTTAACTACTTGTAAGATCCCACTTCAGCTAACTTCATTGATTTTCCACTGAAGAAAAACACTAATTTGTACTGAATTAGTCTTTTAGGACTTTCGCTTACATTAAATTAACGCTAAAAAGACAGTCGAATGCTAAATTAGTAGAGTTCTCGTGAGTACACTATCATTATTATTACTAAAACACAAACTTGGTATATTATGAGCAGCAAGAGATTAGCTACACAAAATCTCAGCTTGTGAAGGGGTAGGGAGACTCTCTAGTCGTCTGGACTGAAGCAGATATATATGTCTTCAGAGATAACCTCTAAGACTTTGACTTGAAGTCTGATCTACCTGATAGTCAAGCAGTGTCAGGAGCTGCGTTCCCATGGTTGACAGTGACCAAAACAGGTTGATACACCATTCAGTCGTTTCGGATTCTACAGCCCGTATACACCATAGGCTTGTAATCAGGGTTTACTAACTCTTCTAGGTAGACCTACATGGCCGCCAGTTCAGTTGTAAGCATCAGACGTTCGCATTCGCAATGAATAGGACTTACCTGGCAGTGGTTAAGAACGCGTGTCACGTGATGGTATTTCAAGAGGAAGACCAGAGTCTATCCACCTTTGGCCGTATCAGGTGATTCATGGGGGCTATGAATGACGTGAATGACGTATATATTCACTCAATGAGCAAGCGTAATTGGTATCATAGCCACAAACAAAACATCATCCTTACTCATGCAATAAGCAGTACACATCGAAAGATGAATCACATTTCCCACTAAAAAAATACTAATATTCATCGACAAAAGTTTCAAACGACGCTTTGATTTCAGATTTTATTGCCAAACAGTAAACACGGTCGTGCTGACACTTATGTGTACAGAGAGGCAGCAGAATGAAGTAAAACAGATTATATATCATGCTTGTTCTATACACTGGATTGAAACGTTTCTGAACAAAAAGTAGTGGTGACTTTCACTTCAAAGAAAATGTCATGAGAAGTCAAAAACCGGTCGGGTAAACTATTAAAAATCTTCTCCGTGGTTGAAAATGCAGTAGATAGTCTTCACGCTTCCCGTGTTTCAGGTATTCAAAGGGATGAATACCCTAAAAGTGGATCAAAGTAGCCTTCAAAGGTTCATGCTTGTGAGTTGGATCATTAATTCACATCAGTTAGAGAATCATCGGACACTAGGGTGTACTGGATACATGTTTCGTCCTATTTTGGGACTTCCCAGCGGCATGTTCCATTGCCTTATCTAGAGTCAAACCTAGGCTTTTCATGTTACGAACTGAGCCCGTAACCACTCAGTCACTGGAGCGAAAGCCGGTGTCTAACTAATGTCATCGGATGAGTACAAGTACTTTGCATGATTTTTTAAAACATTTGTTGATTTCTAAAAAAAATTATTTTGAAATTCACCTAACCATTACATGTCTAACAATTGAATCAATGCTTTATTTTCTCATTGCTTATAAGTATGTATATGGTATAGTGTCCAGAACCAGCTAAAAGTATCAAAATTAACATGAAGATCAGGTGTTGTTTCTTCAAATGTAATTTGTAAATTATTGATTATGAGATTTATGGTGAGTTATTAGTGAGAAAATATTTCACCTGACACTGTATCTAATAATCTACTTTTTAAAAAATGCGATTTTGCTTAAGAAGTCTTATTCATCAGGTATCATTTAAACTATCTAATGACGTGTCGTCGACTAATGAGAGGCAAAGAATCTTTCTAAAGATTCGCAGTCGCTTAACTGTTCACCTAAATGTTGAACTGGTTGCTAGTTAGTAAAAAACTGTGTGTTCCAAAACAAAAATTGCCATATTTAGGAGTATTCTTATGGACTATTAGATAGTTAGAGATAACTGGCTGGAAGCGTTAGACCCAGGTTGTAGTAGTACTGTAGATAGGGACATTATCAGTGAGCTATTCGAACTCGCGACTAACCTCCTGTAGGACTATATTGGATACTGTAACTGCACGCAAGGTATTAACTAGTATTGTGAGTCTGGTACTAGGTGTTGGTGGCGGTTGAATAGCTCACTAGTAACGTCTCTGACTTCAGCAGTGGGTGACGCGGGTTTGAACCTCAGGAGGAACATGATTGCAGATGCATTTTGCAGATGAATTCCATCAAGCAGGGGACATAGGTCCAAGACTTCTCACCGATTACCTCCAACTATCTAATAATAACAATTCCGTGGTCATTGCAACGAGGAGACACCTGGCATGGTGGGCACATTGTAAACTTGACTGATAGAATTCAGTCTTCACCAATCCAACGACCAGAAGCATGAAACTGGTTAGTACCTGGTGTCCAATCACAGTATTTTATGGAATATACAAATATCAATGGAGTCTTCATAATATTTACACTGGACAGTTCAACAGAAGTTTCCAATCTTGTTTTGATAAATCTCTCAATATTTTCAAGTATTGATTTTTTAGGGATTTTGTTTGATTAGTTTGAGGATTTCATCATGAGCTGACATCAGTTGGAGAACCTTTGGAAGACTTGGGAGTATTGTACAGGCTCGCCTTGTACTCAGTAGGTCTTGGGTTCGAACCCCACTGTATGGGTGCGTACTGATGAAGAATCTCAAACCAGGACGAAACAACTCTCCAGTACTCCTAGGTTTTTCAATGATTCTCTTGCTGATATCAGCTCATGATGAAATCCTCAAACCAATCTCTTAATAATTGAAATTATAATATCATTAACCTATTAACACTATGAACGAATGTAGCA